AGACCAGGCTTTTGTTTTGGACTCTGGGGCAGAGCAGCTGGGGCGCTGCCGATTGGTCCTGCAGCGCCCGTGGGCACTACTGGACCAACCCGGCAGCACCCCAGCTGCTCTGCCCCAGGTCCTGATTCAGCCGCTGCGCCCGAGGCAGAGTTGCTCTGCCCCGGGCTTCCTGGAATCAGCTGCTGATCAGTTTCAGCAGCAGCTGACTTGGGGACGCTTGGGGTTCTTAAGTTGATTCTGTATGTAAGTCAGAACTGGTGGTCAGTTTCAGCAGCGGCTGAATTTGGACGCCAGTTCCGACTTACATACAGATTCAACTTAAGAACAAACCTACAGTCCCTATCTTGTACGTAACCCGGGGACTGCCTGTATTCCTTCTAATCTGCATTTTTTTAAAAACACAGCAGAATAGGCAGGATAAATAATGTCTTATTCCAAAAGTAGGAAGTTGGAAGGAAAATACATTCTATACTTGCTATTATTGTCATAGTGCATAGGAACACTAGTCATGGACAGGGGACCCTACTGCATGAAATGCTGTACAAACACAAAAGATGGTCCTTGCCCCAAAGAGTTTACAATCCAAATATTAGACAGACAAGGTGGGTGAGGTAATACCTTTTATTGGATCAACTTCTGCTGTTGCGAGAAAGGGCTACAACTGCATAATCTAAGCATAAGGCAGAAGGATACAGAGATTCACAAAGAAAACAATGAGACATTACTGGTTAGCACAACAGATCTCAATAGCCTAACCATTGTTAAGTGTGCGGTAGGCACTAATGAGGTAACTTTCAGGACATTTATGGGGAGCCCTTCCGAAGCATGAGGGGCAGCATGGGAAAAAGCACAAAAATGTTAATCTGCAAAATCAGTAAGTGGACAGTGGAGGCTTACATCACAGAGTTAAGATTCTAGATCTTGGTAGTAAATACAAACAGCTTATGGTTAATGTACTAGTGAAGGGCAAGGCAGTGGAGGGCTGCAAAGACCCCAGGGTAACAATCACAGTGACTGGCTAAAAAATGATCTCTGCAACAACATTCTGAATAGGGTGATGATGCTATGTCAAGAAAGGAAAGAGATCAGTCCTAAATAAGCAACATTTATTTTTCCACACTCCTCTTGCTACAGAGGTGAGCTACAAAAATAATTCTCTCCAAGGAAAAGCTACAGCATTCTGTTAGAAAACACCACAAAGACACTAACAAAAACCAAACATTACACCATAAAAAACACAAAGCATGTTTTTGACAGTATTTCTCAAAGTTCCTTTTATCAGTCCAAATGACCGATTTCTGCAGGCAAGGAAAGATGGATGGATTGTCACAGAAGCCTACAAAATAAAACTTTATCTGTAACTTTAGTCAACTCCTATTTTATCAACTCAGGTATGTATTTATCCATGAGGACTTAACCAAAGCAGTAACAGGGAAGAACACTCCAGAAACAGATTCTGTTCAATTGTCATATCCATATCAGAGAGGGTGACAAAAATGTACTTGAGCCACAGTTTGTGCACAGAATTTCATTACAGATCACTCTGCTCAAGAATATACCCTCCATGGGACAACCATTTTACCCCAACAGCTGAATAGATTTAAGATTTCCTCAGTGACTGGCCCACGGCTTGGACTACCACAGTCTTTCTTTTTGGATTCAAAGGAATCTCAGTTAATCAACTGAGCTGAGGAGTTCAAGCAAAAGGCTTTATTAAGTCCTTGATTTCAGGTGTTTTTGGAGATGGCAACCCAAATGGCCACTACAATAGGTAGACACTCACAACATATTGTGAATCCTGATGAGAAAACCTTTGCTCTCTCAGTAACACAGTGTCACCTGGACATATTTTGGGGATCATCTCTTCTTCATGTGACAGAAAGGTATACAGCATTACATACATTTGTGACTTCCATCTTAACTGCTTGAAGAAATTAGTAATATATCTTTCTCAGTTCTCACTTTCTGCATCAGGATTTTTTCTATAGGATAACAAACACAGAATGTTCCAATTCACAGTTCAAAACATGGTAACAAATGATGGTAATCCACTGAGCACTTCAGTCAGAATTAGAGACTATGTGTGGTCTGTATACATAAGAGAGCTGTAGAATTTATTTGTTTTACATAACAAGGGAAAAAAAGACAAAGACATCCTTTGGAAAGACAACAATAGTTCAGGGTAACACTGGATTCAGCTGTACCTTCTTAAAAGATTTACTTGAAAAGGTACAGCTTCATGTTTCTAGAAAGACTTTATAGACTGAAAACAAATAAAACCTACAGTAGTCACATTTAGGCTCAAGTACTGCATTTTTCATCGATGAGCACAATTAGTATTCAATATAAACAACCATAGTCAGGATAGCATGATTATATAATCATTTAATTTGCCACCTACATGTCCTTCTTTCTGAATTTGTTACACAATGTGTTTCAGGACTTATCTTCACTGCAAAAGTATGTTGAGCGCTAGTGAGAGCAGTCACTGCAAAAACACTGAAGATGCAAAGAGTGACTGTACTAGCAGTACAAAGTAGCTAAGGAACTAAGCTAGTCTACCCTACAAAGTTAGGTCAACATAAGCCTCCTTGTGTAGTTCTAATTGTGCATGGGTCTACAATTAAATTTGTCTCCCACTACACTGACATAGTAATACCTGAGCAATACTGAGCTAGAGTTGATGTAAGGTTATCTATGTTTACTCTAACAATTCTCCAGCAGTTGTCTCAAAATTCTGACACTGAGCTCTCTAGTCACAGTTTTGAACCCCACTGCTCAGTGGTCACAGAGACTGGAAGGACTGCTGCCTTTTAAACTCTGAATTTCTTAAATGCTTTTTCCTGGTTATCCACCTTGTCAAGCACATCTAGCAGCTTTCCAGTGTGGTGCACAACTGCCCAGCTGACCATGCCAGCTAGTTATTCCAGTCCAGAAAAGACAGGCGATATGGGACCTCCTGTGTTTATGGGAAGAAGAGGCTGTTCAAGCACAGCTATTGATCAGCTGTAGAAATGTGGACATCTGTGAGAATTGCACAGGGGTTTTAGGAGAGTAGGTATGACACAAATCAGCAGCTGTGCTCCTACAAAAATAAGGACTCATGGCAAGCATACCAGAAACCTGGAAAACCAACAGTTGATTTTAACAGTAATCCCACTAGGGATGTTAATATGTGTTTATTTTTGTAAATGTGTAACCACTGAAATTTACAGTAGTTACATGTTTACATGTGGGGGAGGGCGGCAAGTGGGAGCTGTTGCTCATGTGAGCACTGGCTCCCGCCTGCCCCCCTCCTATTGCTGCCTCTGTATCAGAGGTATGCAGCAGCACAGGTGGGAGGGGGCAGGTGGCTCCATGGGAGCTGGCTCCTTCCTTCCCCTTTCAGCTGCCTGTGATACAGAGGCAGCAGGGGAGGGGCTGAGTATAGTTGTTAGAATGTTAGGATTAACCAACGAGCCCAGGCTCATTGATTAATCCTGTGCATGTTCACATTCTTAGATCCCACCTGTTAATACTCATTTTGCAGGCCTAGCAGCAGT